ATGTTACACGTACGCACATTTTGCAAATGCACTAAATTACGGTAACTCAGTCTACATCTCTCTCAGCCGCCATCCGTCGTCCCCATGGCAACTGTTTAAAGTGTTTTAGTATTAGTGTTGGCGTTGCTAAGCCAAAAACTAACTTACACCTAACTAAATGACAAAGTTTTGCGACTCACGGCTGCACACATATATATATATATATATATATATGCATGCAAGCAGTGTGAGCGCAATGGAGACTGAAGGGAGTGAGAGGTAAGTGTGCATGGCGGTAATTTAAGGTAAACATTTCTTTCTGTGCAGAGTTGAGCTTGCTGTGTCTATGTGTGTGTGTGAGTGTGCGTGCGTGTGTGTGTTGGTTGCTTTTTGTAAGTGTGTGTTACCACATGGACGCCAAAAGGCATGCGCTGCAAATTCACAAACTCGCTGATACACACACTCATGGTAAAAAAAAAAACACATATGCCTCAGTGCTGCGTTTTTGTACCCTGTAAAGGACAAGCTTTGGCAGGGTTAGTTGTGAATCAGCATAAACTAGAAATATTTAGATAGTTTTTGTGATTTTAGCACAGCATCATAGTGTCTAAAAACTTACAACATGACCGCGTATAAGTTAGTCAGATAGTGTGCAAATTTGTTGACCACGTCAACTGGGCGAGGGTTAAATTGCGAACATTTACATATATCTGCCACAAGACTTGAGCTACAAATATCAAATTTTGTAAATAGGCTAGAAATAGAGACCGAGTAAAACTGCATTGAGGATAGTTTCTTGAACTTGTCAACATTAATGAACCTTGGTGTAAGTTTAAGCACAGGTTTGTCATTTATTTTCAAAATGAAAATTATAATAATCAATTCGATTTTTAATTGGCAATCGCCCGTTGTACTGAAAATATTTTAATCTTTAAATATTCTCTCATATAAAATGCGGGCTATTTTAGACAGGTGCAAGATATTAAAAATTCGAGTCTGAGAAGAATCTTATTTTATTTGAAGCAAACCATTTCAAAACTATATGATTTGGCTTCTACTTAGCAAACGTAGAAAATATTCTGTGCTGGCACTGATTTGGTTCAAAAATTTAGAATAATGCTAATAATAATAATATAATGATAACTAAAAGAATGAATGGAATATCATAAATGTGTTTTCATTTCTTTTGCAACGCAGTATATTCCCTAAGATTTCTTTCACAATAAAGAAATTGGGAAAAAAGGTATTCTCTAGCCTATTCGCACACTTAAGACCCTTTTAACAGGGTAATTATAGTCGGGCTTTGTATGTGTGTTGGCTACTACTTTTGCCACTATTTCAACCGCATAAGCGAAGGCGAGTGTATCTATGTGAATGTGTGTGTGCATAGGTGTGTGTGTAAGTGTGTGTGTCTCTGTTGCCCGTGAACGTGCCGTGCGTTGCCAGTTAGCATTACAGTTGGCGCTGCTGCGGATGCTGCTGCCCCTTGTTGGTTGCTGCCACTCGCAGCATGTTGGACACACATAGGTGCCTTTTTTTATGTATCTTCTTATTGCAACTGTTGTTGCCTGTTGCCTGTTGCTGTTGTTGTTGTAGTTTTGTTTTGGTTTTTGTTGCCAACTGACACGGGCCACTCGCCGCCACACCGCGCTGTTTCGC